GGGGGGGGGGGGGAGCAAACGGAATGCCAAGCAAAACTGGTCAGCTGCTACATGTTGCATCAGTGCGTGCGAATTTCTCCACATTTTTCACATTAAATCAACTAGCATCCATATAGAGTTTTTCAAATCATAGACCATATAGTACACATGCAAAAAAAAAAAAAAAACAGACATCATGCACAGTAACTAGTGCGTTGAAGTTGGAACATCTGTAAAAATTGGGAACGATACTGAGAAGACTAGCATGGCCCCTGCGTAAGGATCATGCGCATCCAACTCTGCGGCGAGCTTTCAGAAGCTTGCTAGAGGCCTTCATCGGCTCTTGCAGGAGTCGAGCCCCTTGGGATAAGGTAAGGTATTGTTTTAGACATGCTCTAAACAATGTCGTAGTTCGAACTACATCCTCCACAAAAGAAGTCTAAATCCGTGCACCTAACAGCCACTTGCTCTAACCACTGAGCTACTGGAGACAGGGAAATGCTCCCACCCCCCCAAAAACAGCATGTGGCGCCATACCGCATTAAAATCCACACGAAGCAAACATGATCAGGCAGCACACAAGTTGGCTGCCTCAGGTCTCATTTCCACACCATCTGCATTCACTGAATATCCTGCTGTTTCTCTCAAGTATGAACTCTATCTAAATCTTCCGTCCAGGTGTGGTGTGTAGGGAGGCCCGAATTATCGTTCAATGCTGCACAGAGCTTTCGCACGCAATGCCTCCACCAAGGTTCGACTCCAACGCACCTCTCAGGCACTTAATCTTGACATCCTGTGTGCCAGCCTTCCTGTATAATGCCTTCACAGCATTGTACTCGTCCGCTCCACCGTTTGCGACCGCTGTTGCCAATACCACCGGAAGCATATTTGGATGCACAGTCCTGCCCACAACAGAAAACAAATAATGTCAGCGAGACAGGTCTGCAGCTGATATGTCTACTGCAGCACAGCAACCGACCAAATTGTTGTCTGCCAGTGTCCCGCACTGGTACCAAGCAGTGTGACCGAACTAAGGATCAACGTCCACTCTCGCGACCAACCCTGGGATCAGCAGTGAGACCAACACCGGTTCCAACACTGGGGCCAGCAGTATGGCCAACACTGGGTCTGCCCCTTGGGAGCTGTTGAGGGCAGCTGACACATTGTTCCTCTGCTGCCACCACCAGAACATCACTCACATACCCCCATGACACAGCCCATCTCTAACGTCTTACGCTGCCCCTGGCTTAGCAAAAGGCGTGGTTTTCGTTGTCTCTAATACTCTAAATCGAAAAGCATAGTAGACACTATCTGACAAAGGATTAGAACATGGATGTTCTTCCGGACGTCTGTTAAACGTCTCTCAAAATTGGAASGATAYAGAGAAGATWAGCATTGCCCCTGCACAAATAAAGGAAGGATGAAAACAAGTTACCAAGGAAAGAATACTTAGGATAGTAGATAGTGTCCTTCGGGACATCCGTTAAAATTGRWACGATACAGAGAAGATAAGCATGGCCCCTGCGCAAGGATGACACGCATAAATCGAGAAATGGTCCAAATAAAAAAAAAGAAAAAAGAAGGATAGTAGATAGTATCTAAACGAATAGTAGACGACCTCACAGGCATGGACATCGCCATGCCATGCACAATCACTGACCTTCACCTACCTACATCCGCAAGTGTCTCTAACTGACTGCATGGCACTGCATGCATGCAAGTCTGGCTTACAGTCTGCAAATCACATAGCTCGCAGACGCATGCATGGCACTGTATGCAAGTCTGACGCACAGTTGGCAAATTGCTCAATGCAGGGCTGCACCGGCCACYGGCCACCGGCCAGTTGGACCAGACCGGACCCAACCAGGCCGGTTGGAACCCCGGTGGTCCAACCAGAAATCCGGTTGGGCTCAAAACCGGGTCAATTTTTTTTTATTTTTATTTTTTGATGATGGGGCTGGACTGCGCTTGTCGAAATCTCCCCGAATCCGCAGAGAAAACAGTGATCTGTTTTTTTTTTTTTTCATGGGGTTGGGTTGAGGAGGGGCTGCATTTCAGGGGTGGGGGGATGAGGGGGGGGTGTTTGTAGGGTGGTTGCAGCGTACCTCTCTCTCTCTCTCTCTCTCTCTCTCTCTCTCTCTCTCTCTCTCTCTCTCTCTCTCTCTCTCTCTCTCTCTCTCTCTCTCTGTGTCTGATTTCCACGCCCCCAGAGGTTTCCGTGCGCACACTTACTGCCGCGCGTCAACTTACTTTCGCGTGCCCACTACATTCCGCAAACTTGGGCTCTGCCAGAAGAAGAAGAAGAAGAAGAAGAAGAAGAAGAAGAAGAAGAAGATAGTAAGAAGAGAAGAAACAGAGGAACAAGAGGAAGACCTCTTACCGATGGACGGCGGTGCGGTGCGGGGCGGGGCGATGGCAATTCCGAGGCCGGGGGACCGGGGGCCGACGGAGTCTCCAAAGCAGCGGCGTCGTTCACTTCAGACGAAGTGACGAGTTGTGACGAGTTGCTCTGCTTGAAAGCAGCGGGAGGCGGGARGCGGGAGGCGGGGTGGTGGGGGCGGTGGCTGGGAAACGTTAGGATGGCTGGCCAATTTTGGGGTGGTTTCCCGCCCGAATCTTAAAAAACGGGCGGCCTATCGGGGCCGCAGATCTCACCAGATCRACAGCCCAGATAGACCGCCAGTTTTTCAATATTCTGGCTGCCTACCGGACCCTGTTAATTTGTTTTTGGGGCCGGGAGGCCTCCACGACCTGCATGGAGGCCTCCCAGCCCCCCCAAAAAATGAAACCCCCCATGATCRAAATGCGCGAAGGGGAACCRGGAGGGAACCGGCGCGGTCCACYRGCCAGCACGACCGGCCCGGTTCCGGTGGGGGTAGGGGGCCCCGGTGGGACCGGGTATTCAGCCSTGGCTCAAAGTCAATTCCTAGCGAGTGTCAATTGTTTCCGTYTGCCAATCTGCTGAACCACTGGACAGGGAAACAAAAATTCAACTCAACTACGACAACTGTACATCCCACCCACAGCGCCGAGGACGTCCACTGTGGCACTACACTCTTTCTGTAGAGCAGCACTTTTCTTTTTTTTATTTTTTTTGATTGAAGGGCGACGGCCTTGAGATATTATCATTGAACTGACCGGCCCCACGCAATTCATTAGTAGTTGTTTTTTCCCCCATTAAGTTCCATCATCATCTGGATTCAAACTGGGGTCTGTATTTCAACAGCACATGTGTGTACCCACTGAGCTAGGCTCTTGGGTGCAGAGAAGCACTTTTCAGGCGCAAGTTGCGACAGAAAAAAAGAAGAACACATTTGATGATTTGGGAACCGACAAAAAGAGAAGTACAAAAAAATAAAAAAATAAAAAATCAAACAAACAAACAAACAGAGGCTGGCAATCGTGTCGTGTGCACATTTACGAGTGACCGATTGGGCAATAAGCATGGGCCCTCTTCGTAGCCATTCTCTTTTTTTCTACCATAAGTATTTTCAGGGCACTCACTGCCAAACGAGACGCTGGGCCTACATCCCAGCACATGTTGCGTCCCACAGATAGGCTGGAGCTTTTTGCAAAAGAAAAAGAAAAAAAAAGAAAAAGAAAAAAATGACTGCACTGTACTCACTCCATGTCTTGCTGCATGTTTACAAAGAGCTCCTTGCATTTAC